TATTATTTTTATTTTACGTGTATGAGTGTTATGCCTGCATGTAAGTGCACCTATGTCATGCAATGCCTGTGGAGGACAGAAGAGGCTATCAGATCCCCTGGAGCTAGAGTTACAGACAGTTGTTAGCTGCCATGTGGGTGCTAGGATTTGAACCTGGGTCTTCTGCAAGAACAGTCAGTGTTCTTAACCACTGAGCCATCTCTCCAGCCCCATATGTAAATATTTTAAAAAGAAAGAAAGAGCTGAGCAGAGGCAGGTGAATCTCTGTGAGATCAAGGTTAGCCTGGTCTATATAGCAAGTTCCAGACCAGCTCTAGCTACAGGGAAACACTGTCTCAAAAAGACATGCCCCCCCCCAAAAAACATGTAAATAGCAATGGTTGCTCTCCAAGTTGTCCCTTCTTTATAACTCCATCTTCCATTGACTGGTTTTCAAATTAGTAAAGTAATTAAACAACTCTTTTTCTTTTGCTATGTTTTTGAGACAGGATCTCACTGTGTAGCCCAAGACTGGCCTCATTCATGGCATTCCTTTTGCCCTAACCCATTGAGTAGCTGGGACTACAGGCGTGCCTGGCTGCAACCACTATCTTTATTATTAAACATAATCAGCACTGAACCTTGTATATAAAATAAAACCAAAGTACACAAAATGCTAACAGAATTGCATAGAAATGAGCTAAAGCTGATATTAACTACTCTTTTTACCCACTGAGTTTTTTCTTCTTCAGCCACTTCTCAAAGTCAGCATGTCAATGAGAGACTCATTGATACTTGTCCTTCGGAAAGCTATGTTTGCCAGGTATGTAGCATTGAGATCACAGTAAGTTACACCTTCAAAGTCTGGATCTGTAAGTTGTCTCTGCTATCTCCCAGGTGTGCCTGTTCACAGTGGCCAGGCAGACTCCTGCCTCAGCAAGTATTCTCAACAAGTAAAACGCTTATGTGCTGCTTTTTCATTTAGTGTTCAGAGCAACCTCAGGAAGTGAAGATTATTACAGTTCTCATTTTACAAAAGAAAGTTAGGCTTAGGCATGAGAAGTGCCAAAGACTGTCCCAAAGACTGAACAGTATTTAATGGTAAAATAATCTAACATCAGTGTTTATGATCTCAAGTACTTTGCTCTACCACCCCTAGATTAACCTTCAGGGGAAAGTTGCATCCCCAGAGTCTTGAAATACCAAGATGACCACAGTTCCAAGGGGAAGAGTTAGGAAGAACAAACATACTTAAGTATCTCATGTTAATGAACATCAGAATTGGGGTCCAGTGACTAGTAGACCTGGTGAATTTCTGAAGTGCCTTCATTCTATTTGAAGCTCACTCAGTGCCTCCTGACCACTCTTCCTTTATTGCTTAGTATGTGAGCTAGGGATGATTAGTACTGTCTCCTAAAAATGTAGCAATACAGTAATATGTGGAAAGCATTTGATACTTTGAGCATAAGATACCCAATTATTATCACATTGAGAATATTATAGAACATGCAGATATGTCCAGAAGAGCAACCAGTAAGTAGCTATTATCTCTGCTCTAGAATTGGGAATTTTTAAAAAGTAAATCCCATGCTTAAAATTTTTTGGATTTATTTATTTATTTATTTATTTTTCTTTTTGGTGTTTTAAAGACAGGATCTCCCTGTAGCCCCAGCTGGCCTGGAACTCACAATGTAGACCAGGCTGACTTTGAACTCACAGAGATCCGCCTGCCTCTGCCTCCCAAGTGCTGGAATTAAGGGTGTGCGCCACCATGCCTGGCAGATTTTTTTATTTTATTTTATGTATATGAGTATTTTGCATGTATGTATGTAAGTGTACCACATGGGTGCAGTGCCTATGGTGACCAGAAGAGGGTGTCAGATCCTCTGGAATGGAAGTAATGAATAGTTGTTAGCCAACATGTGGTTGCTAGGAACCAAACCTGGGTCTTATGCAAGAGCAGCCAGTCCTCTTACTGCTGGACCATTTCTCCAGCCCTAGAATTGACAGTTTTTTATTATTCTTCACCAAAAGGCTTGTCTGATAGTACGTTACAGTGTCTGTAACATGGATTGATCGTAGAACCCCTGCCAGTTCATGTGACACAAAGTACTTGTGCTCCTGTATAAATAAAAGAAGCTCAGCAATTTCCTTTGCCATTCCGTATGTAGATTCAAGTTCCAGTCCAACCTGTGGCCTCTCAGGATTCTTCTGATTACCATGGAGTCTTGCAAGCTAAGAGAAGAAAGTATAGATACAGTCATGAGGTTAATAATGAAACCAATCAGTTGCATTCCCATAGTGTAGATGACTGAATACCTAGTGCCTTATTTTGAGCATATAAATTCAGTTTGGTTTGGTTTGGTTGTACTTGATTGTCCGTACATATTCCTTCTCTGTGTGGAACTAGATGGATTTTTTTCCTACACATTCCTGTGCTATTAACTTATTGTGTATTCCTGAACTAGGCAACTTGATGCCCGAAAATCTGCAGTTGCTGGGTTTTTGCTGCTCTTGAAGAATTTTAAGGTTTTAGGCAGCCTGTCATCCTCTCAGTGTAGTCAGTCTATTGGTGTCACTCAGGTAAGAATTGTTCACATGTGCCCTTAATCTCTATGTATCTGATTATTACTAATCACGGTCAGTTACACTCAGATCCTTAGAACCTGAGTATGGGTATAAAGTCATCAGGTAGATTTCACTGGTAATGTTTATCACCTCTACTAATTAACATAAAGTACATTTTTATGCTTCCTCCTCAAATATGTCTTATTTTTTAATTTGTTGATTTTGTGTGTGTGTATATCATCCCACACAATTTTAGACACATGTGCAAACATCTAAGTGTTAGTAGCATTAAAAATGTAGGAAACAGCATATTTTAAAATGAAATGGAGATCTTCTTTAAAGGGTAAAAACTCATTCAATTTTATGTCTTACAGGGTTTATACTGAGTTCAATATTGTATAACTGTATTAATTCAACTGTGAACCTAAAAATTTATAGCCACTTTTGAAAGAGATGTATCCTTGCTCTGGAATGTGTTACTGAATATGTTAAAGCTGTAATGAAATGCTTCTTCTAATCATGTGGTTATTAAATTTAAAAAAAAGTTCACACTAACTGTATTAAACATTGCTTCAGGAGCCATTAGAAGCCATTATTTTATTCCTTTAAGGCTCTAACAAAGATCCTGATCAAACTGTGAGTTTCATAATGATGATAATGTCAATTAAACTTCTCTTTTTATTTTTTTGCTTTTTGAGATAGGATCTTGCTTGAACTGTGCTGTATATGTAAAATTTACACCCATTTCAAAGAATGAGAGTGAAATTAAAACATATATGTATTTCAATCAGTATTTTATACTGAATTATATGTTGATAGTACTTTGGATCTGGGCTGGAGAGATGGCTCAGCAGTTAAGAGCACTGGCTCCTCTTGCAGAACACCCACCTGGTGGCTAACAGTTGTCTATAACTCCAGTCCCAGGAGCTCTGATGCCATCTTCTGATGTCTGCGGGCATTGCATGACATGGGTACACTTATACATGCAAGCAGTATACTCATACACAAAATAAAAATAATAAATAAAATATTTAAAATATTTTTGATATGTTGGGTTAAATAAAGTATTAACATTTACTTCATCTGTTTTATTTTGCACTGTGGCTACAAAAAATTTTAAATTACATATGCAGCTTACATTTGTGGCTCATACTATTTCTCTATTGAATAGCAAGCACACTGCTAGATACTACTAAAGAGCTTTATATACATTATCTCTTTTATCCTTCCCAGTAATTCTCTCAGCTAGATACTAGTATTATACTTATTTTGAAGATTTATTTTATGTGTATGTGCCTGAGTATATGTATGTATATCACATGCATACAGGTGTTCACAGAGGCCAGAAGAGGGTGTCAAACACCCTGGAGCTAGAGTTACAGTCAGTGTGAGCTACTCATTGTGGGTGCTAGGAACCCACGGTTCTGGTCCTGAGAAAGAGCAACAAGTAGTCTTAACTACTGAACCATCTCTCTAGCCCCTATAAAAGTAGGTCAATTTGTTTATTTTGCACATATACTTCTAGTAAGCTGTGGAATCTGATAAAACAACTTTCTGTAATAATTTGAAAGTAGACTTATTTAAGAATTTCATTAGGAATCATTTACTGTTCTAATACAACTATAGATAACCTTTTTGGCAGTTTGTTATAATATAAGGAATACTGGGTATCATTTGTGAATATTATACAAGAAAAATAAGGCTCACAGAGGTTAAGTAACTTGCCCAATATCATAACCAATAAAGAGTAGAACTTGAATTAGACTTTAAAAGTATGAAGTGTATCACCATGTTACTTAGAGTAAGGAGTAAATTCTTCTGACATAGTCATTCCATGGAGCCCCTTCCACTCTTGGGAGTTCTTTTCTCTTTTCCCTAATAAAGAAGTTTTTTAGTCCATATTGTCAATTTTATTTTATTTTATTTTTTATTTTTTGGTCTTTTTGAGACAGGGTCTCCCTGTAGCCCCAGCTGTCCTGGAACTCACTACGTAGACCAGGCTGGCCTTGAACTCACAGAGATCCGCCTGCCTCTGCCTCCCAAGTGCTGGGATTAAAGGCGTGCGCCACTGCGCCCAGCCAGTCAATTTTATTTTAAATAGAGCAAGGAACCTTGTTTTTTTGTTTGCTTATTTATTTATTTATTTATTTATTTATTTATTTATTATTTATTATTTTTTGGTCTTTTTTGAGACAGGATTTCCCTGTATTCCTAACTGGCCTGGAACTCCTGGGACTCACTGTGTAGACCAGGCCTGCCTCTGTGTCTGAAGTGCTGGGATTAAAGGCCTGTGCCACCATGCCTGGCTTTATTTTATTTTTTTGAGGCAGGGTCTCCTGTAGACCCTGCTGGCCTGGAACTCACTATGTAGACCAGGCTGGCCTTGAACTCAAAGAGTTCCACCTGCCTCTGCCTCCCGAGTGCTGGGATTAAAGGCGTGTGCCATCACACCCAGCTTTGAGGCAGGGTCTCAACTAGGTAGCCCTGACTGGCCTCAAACTCATAGAGATCTGCCTGCTTCTGCCTCTGAATGCTGAGATTAAAGGCATGAGCCACACACCTGGCTTGCTTGGTGTTTTTCCTTGTTTTGTTTTGTTTTGTTTTTTGTGTTGAGAGATAGTCTCATTATGTCGCCCAGGCTGGCCTAGAATTTTCTGTGTAGACCAGGCTGGCCTCAAATTTGTGACCCTTCTAACTCTACCTTCTGAGTGCTGAGATAAGCACTAGAATGTCTGTTTGTAAGCAAGACTATCTGCCCCTAAACTTCTTTAGGATTTGTGGAAATGAAGAGCTATTTTTTTTTTTGATGGAAGTCTTAAAGTCTTTTAAATAAAATCATATATATTGTGACAATCGGATTATAGTGACATAAAATAATCAGTTGCCTTCCTAAATAGCTAACGTTGTCAAAGAAACCTTAAAGCACAAAAAAAAAAGAGATAATTTTGTTTGAATGCTTGAAAACTTTTATTTCAAACCAGAATGAGTGACATGGTAATGAATATCAGATCTACATTAGACCCGTTTGAGCACAAGGAAAGCTAAGTCTAGTAAGCTTCTTTGATCAAGGGCATAGACTCAGTTTACTCCCTACTGAAAACTGCTTTTAGAAAGCTAGACATAAACTGCTTCTCTCCCTTTTCAGGTTCACGTAGATGTTCACAGCCGCTATAATTCTGTTGCCAATGAAACTTTTTGCCTTGAGATCCTAGATAGTTTGAAAAGATGCTTGGGACAGCAGGTTGATGTTCGACTCATGCTTTATGAGGTAAGTCAGTAATTTGGAAGAAATGTATCAACTCTCTTCTGTGAATAATCCTTTTTAAGTCTTTTTTTTTTTCCTGATTCTAAAAACATTACATATACCCTTGGGCAGTTAGGGCCAGTAGATAGTAATAATGAGTCCAAAAGTCAAAGTGAAGCATGGTGGCCCATGCCTTTAATCCCAGCATTTGGGAGGGCAGAGGCAGGTGGATCTCTATGAGATCAAGGCCAGCCTGGTCTACATAGTTCACGCAGGCTGGGGCTATGGGAGACCTTGTCCAAAACAAAACAAAACTGTAAACAATACTTGCTATACTTTAATCACTGTATTTTTTAATTAATTAATTTTTATTTTTTATACGTATGAGTGTTATACCTGCATGTAGTAAGTGTACCCGTGGAGGACAGAGGAGGGTATCAGATCCCTTGGAACTGCAGTTATGGACAGTTTAGCTGCCATTTGGGTGCTGAGATTTGAACCAGGGTTTTCTGCAAGAACAGCCAGTGGTCTTAACCACTGAGCCATCTCTCCAGCCTCAATCATTGCATTTTAATTTGAACATTTAGGTGTTTTTGCCAGCCTTTTAATTTAACACCAAGTTTGTCATTTTTAACATCTGTCTTTCATACAAACCATACCCTTAATTTATAAATTAAGTTTATAAAGTTACCTTTATTAAGTCTAATATATTGGTTTTTTAAATTTCTTATTATTTTAATATTTTATTTATTATTTTTATTTTATGTGTATGAGTGTATTGTCTGCATGTATGTGAGTGCACCCATGTCTTGCAACGCCAGAAGAGGGCTTCGGATTCCCCTGGAACTCGTAGCCACCGTGTGGGTGCTGGGAATCGAACCTGGGTCCTCTGCAAGAGCAGTCAGTGTTATTAACCTCTGAGCCATCTCTCCAGCCCCTATTTGTTATTATTTTTATTTTATGTGTATGCGTGTATTGCCTACATGTAGGTAAGTGCACCTGTGTCATGCAATGCCCACGGAGTACAGAAGAGGCTGTCAGGTCCCCTGGGACTGGAGTTACGGACACTTGTTAGCTGCCATGTGGGTGCTGGGATTCAAACCTGGGTCTTCTAGTGTTCTTAACTGCTGAGCCATCTCTCCAGCTACAGGTTTTTTGTTTTTTAATCTTTTTCTTTTTTTGTACTTTGTTTTTAAGATCTTTACAGATCTGATTCGGTCCTGTAACTTATAGTGATACAACAGTTAGCAAAAACCAGAAGACAAATATAGTCAGCATTTGTGATTAGTATATAATGCAACCATTGCAAATGACTATGATCATGGAAGGTTCACTACTATTTCCATAGGTGTTTCATGGAAGAAATGGAAAACATTAAATAACAAGAAAAGGGGTTAGAAGAAAGAACAGCTCTTTTTCTTTTTCTTTCTCTTTTTGTTTTTGAGAGACTGTGTAACATAGCCCAGGCTGACCTCAAACACTCTGCATAGCTAAGAAACAACCTCGAATTTCTGATCCACCTTTTTCTACCTCCCAAGTGCTGGGATTACAGGTCTGTACCACACACCTGACTTTCATGTGATTTTTTTTTTTTTTTTTGAGACAGGGGTCTCCCTGTAGCCCCAGCTGTCCTGGAACTCACTATGTAGACCAGGCTGGCCTTGAACGCACAGAGATCTGCCTGCCTCTGCCTCCCAAGTACTGGGACTACAGGTGTGCACCACCATGCCTGGCTTCATGTGATATTTTAAAGTATTTATTGAGCTATAAGAATTGGCTGGCACTGGATTTTTTAGGCTCACTATGGAAAATACGGAAAATTTAAAGATTGTTTTAGGCCTGGGGATGTGGCTTAGTGAGTAAAGTGCTTCTTGGGCAAGCATGAGTACCTAGATCCTCAGTACCCACTAAAAAGCCAGGCATGGCAACACATGCCTCTATAATCTCAGTGCTGGGAGGTGGAAATAGTACTGCACGGGCTTGCTGGCCAGCCAGTCTAGCCAACTGGTTCAGTAAGCAACCCTGTCTCAAAAAAATAAGATGGAGGGGCTGGAGAGCACTGTGTGCTCTTACAGAAGACCCAAGTTCTGTTCCCAACACCCACATGGCAGCTAACAATCACCCATAACTCTAATTTCAAGAGAGCTGATGTCCTCTTCGGGCCTCCACAGACATTGCATGGACATGGTGCACTTACATGCAGGCAAAATGCTCATACACATAAAATATAAATAAATAAATAAATAAATAAATAAATAAATACATACATAAAGAAATAAGGTAAAAAGTGATTAAGGAAGACCTGGCTTCCACAGGTGCGCACAAATGTGTATACACCAACACATATAAATACATTTATTTGATTTTTTATTAATATTTTTATTTTATGTGTATGCGTGTATTGCCTGCATGTAGGTAAGTGCACCCATGTCGTGCAATACCCTTGGAAGACAGAAGAGGCTGTTGGATCCCCTGGAACTGGAGTTATGGACAGTTGTTAGCTGCCATGTGGGTGCTGGGATTCGAACCTCGGTCTTCTGCAAGAACAGCCAGTGTTCTTAACCACTGAGCCATCTCTCCAGCCCCACATATAAATACATTTATATACACATAAATTTGTTTTATTGCTAATTCTGCCATTCACATTTGCTTATTTATGTAAAATTGGAATAAAAAATATATAGGTTTTTATCATCTAACTTTATCCAATTATTTTCTCATTTTATTAAGTTGTTTTTCTCTTCCAAAATGTTTTTTTTTTTTTTTTTTTTTTTTTGTCTTTTTGAGACAGGGTCTCCCTGTAGCCCCAGCTGTCCTGGAACTCACTATGTAGACCAGGCTGGCCTCAAACTCACAAAGATCCTCCTGCTCTGCCTCCCCAGTGCTGGGATCAAAGGCTTGTGCCACCACGCCTGGCCAACATGATTTTTTTTAAAAAATTTATTTTTGTCTTTTAAATTTGTGTGTGGGGTTATCTATGGAGACCAGAAGGAGGTGTTGGATCCCTGGAGCTAGAGTTACAGGCAACTGTGAGTCCCCTGATGTGAGTGTTGGGAACCAAATATAAAAATGTAACTTAAAATTTACTCACTGATGAATATAAACTCTCTACATAAAAGAGTTATAACTCTGTGGTTGCGCTTTATGTAGAGATTTTTACATTTAGCTATTTGATTCATCTATAATTTGTTTTGCATTTACTAGGAGCTCACCTTTCCTCCCAGGTAAACCTCCTTTAAGAGTACTATTTCTGTTTCCTATTAAATCCTTTATTTCATTTGTATGTTTTTTTATGTCAAGACAAAGTAGCTGGGTTGCTTTATTTGAATCATCACTTAATCAGCTTCTGTATTGCCATCATTTAACTGTTATCTTGTGAGTTCACAGTCTACTTCTTAGGGCAGAACGATACTTTGAAGAACCATTTACACAAGCTACCAGCAGCTGTATCTGTTTCTTTATTCATGAAAGAAAGAAATATAAAGCAATATAGCAAAATATTGACATATGTTAGGGCTAATCTTCCTTCTTTAAAAAAATTTATTTTGTCACTCTCCATTTGCCTTTTCTCACAGATGAACTATACAACCTCTTGGACAGTTTCGAGAAAGAAAGCTCTCTCTTGGGTTTTAATGTGAACAGTTATTTTTTAAATTTAGACTGGAGAAAAAATATCATGATCATTTATGTTCTGTTATTTGGTACTATGAATCATTGGAAGAATGTGCTAAAAGGAAAGGCTTCTAATGAGAGAGAGAGAGAGAGAGAGAGAGAGAGAGGCAGAGCCCTACAGCACCAGATTACTCCAAAGCCACAGTGCTCAAAAATTGTGACAGTTGTCGGGCATGCCTTTAATCCTAGTACTCAAGAGGCAGAGGCAGGCAGATCTCTGTGAGTTCAAGGCCAGCCTGATCTACATAGTTCCAGGCCAGCTGGGGCTACAGGGAGACCCTGTCTTAAAAAGATAAAAATAAAAAAAAATAAAAAAAAATTGTGACAATTATGGTCAGATTGAGTTCGCAGTGATCAGAGGTTCTTCAGATAAATAATCTAAATTTTCTGAATTATTTTTCCCTCTAGCAAATAATGGGTCTCTACCTTTACCACAGAACTGAAAATAGGGAACTAGAGGGATAGCTCAGCAGTTAAGATTGCTTCCTGCTCTTCCAGAGGACCTGAGATCAGTTGCCAGCACAGGATCTGATACCCTCTTTCTGGCCTCTGCAAGCACCCACACGTGTGTCATGCACACATTTACACACAAATAAATTTTTTAAAGTGAGAATAGGCTAAGAAAGAACTATGAGCTTATTTGTTCTCTGTATAATTGCTCCTAGGGGTTCTATGATGTTCTTCGAAGGAACTCTCAGCTGGCTAATTCAATCATGCAGACTCTTCTCTCACAGGTAAAAAAATATCTTATAGATCATATAGGGAAACCAGATGAGGAATTGAGAAGTGATTGGTGCATTCCAGACTTTTGTAAATGTAACATAATTCATAACTAGTATTCTGGTAAGTCGTAAATATGCCCAGGGGATGTCATGCAGTTCTGAGTTGTTTTATTTGGATTATCATGTACCAGCTGCCATATTACCACCCCCTGTTATCCCTATGTTAATAGTCTACTTCTTAAGTCAGAAGGACACTTCAAAGAACCATTTATACAAGCTGCCAGTGGTTATATCGTTTTATTTCTGAAAGAAAACCATCTATAGAAAAATATAGAAAATATTAATATCTAGTAAATACAAGTGATAGATACATAGATGTCTTTTGGGTCATTTCTGTATTTTTACATTACATTTACTTATTTATGGTCTTTTGAGATACAGTCTCATGTAGTCCAGACTGGACTCAAACTCATTATGTAGTCAGGGCTGTCTTAAATTTCTTATTTTTATTGCCATTTCCCAAATTCTGGGATTACAGGTATGTACTACCACTCTAGGTTTGTGTATTAGTTATACTTCTGTTGCTGTGATAGAAACACTGACCATAACCAGTTATAGAAGGAAGAATTTATTTGAGCTTACAGTTCCAAGAAGCAAAGTCCATCATGGTGGGGAGGCATGGCAGCAGAGGTGGCTGGAGGAGGAGTGGACACTAAGCTCTCACATCTTTAAGCAGGCACAGGAAGCAAGAAGCAACTCGAGATCCAGCAAGGCTTAAGAACTCTGTAAGGCTACCCCCTGTGACGTACTTCCTCCAGGATAGCCACACCTTCTAAGACCTCCCAAAACAGTGCTGCCAACCGGAGACAAAATGTCCAAATACTTGGAGCCTGTGGGGGACATTTTCATTCAAACCACCATAGTTCTCTTTTTACATACATGTATACAATGCCCCACCAACTCCCCCTAGATACCCCCCCAAAACATCCTCTCTCAACTTTCACATCTTTCTTTTTTTAACCCACTGAGTCCAGTTAATGCTGCCTGCTGGAATGTTGACTAGATCTTGTGGAGCCTATATTCTTAACCACCAAGCTTTATTGAAAACGCAAATTGTGTTTGCAACTTTAGGGCTTGGTATGAAGGGAGTATGGTGGAAGTAAAGTAGAGAAAATGTCTTGATCAGTACTATTCATAAAGCATTGCAAAAGGATGCAGGCAGATCTAAGCAGTATAAATTTGTTGTATTGTTCTTTTAAAAAAGTGAAAAGTAGCTGGGCATGGTGGCGCACGCCTTTAATCCCAGCACTCGGGAGGCAGAGGCAGGTGGATCGTTGTGAGTTCAAGGCCATCCTGGTCTACATAGTGAGTTCAGGTCAGCTGGGACGACAGGGAGACCCTGTCTCAAAAAGACAAAAAAAAAAAAAGTGAAAAGTATTCATGAGCTGTGATTTTTTTTTTTCCCTCCTCTTACTATATACACAGTTAAAACAGTTCTATGAACCAAAACATGATCTGCTACCTCCTCTGAAACTAGGAGCTTGTGTTCTGACCCAAGGAAATCAGGTCTTTCTGCAAGAACCTCTGGTAAGACTTATTCCTCCTAGAGCCATTATTTTCACTGTTAATGATAAGGTTGGTATGCAGAAAGAGATCCCTTTACCTGTGAAACTTCTTTCAATTAATTTTACTCTTAGTTTTTCCATGCCCATTATTTGTGACCCATTTTCATTTGGGATCTTTTGGTAAAAATCTCTAGCACTTGGCACTTCACTCAATTATGTTGACCACTTCCTCCCCTCAGAACATCTTATCTTTCACTCATAGCTCTTTGGTTATACACTAAAGGTACTTTAGAGTGGAGATGCAACTAGGAATGACTGAACCGAGCTAATAAAACTGCTTCTTTAGCCTAGAGAGAGTACGTGATTTGAGCTAGAGTGGGCTCTTGTTGAACTTTTAGAGGAACTGAGCTAGGTTTTTCTGTTCTTGTTATCTAGCTTCAGAAGGGTGAGAAAGAGATGGCAAAGGCTGAAACTCCCCACTGCAAGTGACTTAGAATTCAGGGCAGAGGAAAAGGGAGGATGGTGTTGCATTGTCAGATCTGGTCTTCATGTATATATCTTTATTGCTGTGAGATGTTCCCAGCCTAGATGTAAGATGCTGTCATGGCATCGCGAAGATTCCCTCAACCTAAACCCCTGTCATTAGAATAACTTTCAGGACTTGAGAACTGAAGACTTTTTTTTTTTTTTTTTTTTTTTTTTTTTTTTTTTGATCTTTTTGAGACAGGGTCTCTCTGTAGCCCCAGCTGGCCTGGAGCTTGCTATGAAGACTGTATAACTTCATAATGTGGCTTTAAGGATATTTGCATCTGACCAGAATAGCACGTTTGATGTTTCATTGTGAAGTGCCAGCTACTTATAATGCCAATTAATTGAGGAAAGCTTAGAAAAGAACACCTCTCTTAGTTATGTTTTTTTGAGTTTTGTTCATTCACCTGGACTTAATGTGTGATGCCAGCAAATAGCACAGGCTTCATAACAGCTTCATAGGTTATCCCTTAACAGTAACAAATGTTATTTGTTTTCTTCTACAGGATCATTTGCTGTCTTGTATTCAGCATTGTTTGGCCTGGTATAAGAGTAGAGTGATTCCCCTACAACAGGGAGATGAAGAGGAAGAAGAAGAGGGATTCTATCACGAGCTAGATGATATGTTGGAGTCTATTACTAATAGAATGATTAAGAGCGAGCTAGAAGACTTTGAACTGGTAATTGCTAAGTCCTTAGCTGTGTTGAATAATGGAGGTTTTAGTAGCAAATTAATTTTTATTTGTCTTTTAGGATAAATCAGCAGATTTTTCTCAGAGCACTAGTGTCGGTATAAAAAATAGTATCTGTGCATGTCTCATGATGGGAGTTTGTGAAGTTCTAATAGAATATAATTTCTCCATAAGTAACTTCAGGTAAGGATTGCTGTGACCTTATTTGTAGTTTTGTACGTTTGTTTACTCTAGTAACTAGTTTAGTTAGACACTAAATATTATCTTTTTTTTTTTTTTTTTTTTTTTTTTTTGGTCTTTTTGGGACAGGATCTCTCTGTAGCCTTAGCTGGCCTGGAACTTGCTATGTAGACAGGCTGGCCTTGAACTCACAAAGATCTACCTGCCTCTGCCTCCCACATGCTGGGATTAAAGGCATGCACCACTATGCCTGGCCAATATTATCTTTTTTCCTGTATATTTTTAATTGAATTTTGGTGCATTTCATACAATAAATCTTAATCATATTTAGACCCCTCCCCCAGCCATACCCCCACCATACATTCTGTCATATATGTTTAAATATTGTCTCTTAATAAGTCCAAAGTATGTTTGTTCTACCAGAGGACACTGCAGGATACATCTGTGATTTTGTCTCTCTAGCATGCTTTTATTTATTCACAGTCCCCCAGACCCTGAACTCAAGTAATACTGGCTTTAAAAGAAAAATTTCATGGGGATAAAGAGATGACTCAGCAGTTAAGAGCACTGGCTGATCTTGCAGAGGACCTGGGTTTGATTCCCAGCACCCACATGGTGGCTAACAACCGTCCATAACTCCAGTTTCAGGGGAATCCAACATCCTCTTCTGACCTCCTCCAGCATTGCACAACATGGGTGCACTTATATGCAAGCAATATACTCATACACATAAAAATAAATTTTTTAAAAAAAATTTTAAAAAGAAAAAAAAATTCATTAGGGATAGTATTGGACTTTCCTGCTGTTCTTGACTAGAAAAAATAAGAGGACATAAAAACAATTCATGCAGATTTTTATAACTTGAGAATACTATGTTAATGATGGTCCATTGATTTATAATGTTATAGCTGAAATATGACATTTAAAGAAGCACTTCGATTTTCTTATTTTATATAGAACTAAGCCACAATAACATTGATGCTGGTCTTTGTTGGTCTCTTTTCCCTTTTACACAGCAAGAGTAAGTTTGAGGAGATTCTGAGTTTATTTATGTGTTACAAGAAGTTTTCTGACATCCTTAATGAAAAAGCTGGTAAAGGCAAAACTAAAATGACCAGTAAGACAAATGATAGTCTTTTGTCCATGAAATTTGTGTCTGATCTTCTCACTGCTCTTTTCAGGTAAGGTTCTACTTGAGTGTGTAAAGATAGCAGTTCAGTAAAGATAATAGTGTGTTCCTAGTTTTACTTCTAGTACCTAGTTTGAATTCACAATTCTAGCTGTATTATATACAGTAAGAAATAAGTTAGGAGGTTTTTAATTTTCTTAATATGAAAAATCGCACAATTCAAGGTAGGCAGTCTAAAGAGGAGGCACCTTAACATTGTTAAAGAAGAATCAGAAACATTGGACTAATGAAAACATAGGATGAATTCTAGCAGTGTTGTAAGACAATCGACTTAAAGTTTTGGATACAACAACAGATTAAGAAAGGAAGGGGCAGATGCTTTAATTCCAGCATGTATAAGGCAGAGGCTGGTGGACCCAAGTTCCAGACCAGGTGGGGCTACAGGGAGACCCCGTCTTTGAAAAAAAAAATGGGGGAGGGAGGGTGGAGAAAGGAGAAAATAAAATTAAATAGCAAGGGGACAATGGGACAGTAGGACAATAAAAAAATCTAAAACACTATACTTTGATTTTATTAAAGTGTAAAGGATTAGTGGGGAAGAGGGAGGAATTGAGGTAACAACAAGGAAAATGAGTGTAAAAAAGTAGCTGTGGCAAAGACTGTGGCTTAGGCCATCTTTTTGCCGTTCAGAGCTTGCTAGGTGCTGCTGGTCTGAACAGTCTGTAAAAGCCTGTTCCAGATCCCAACATCAGCGGGAAATTTTTTTTCCTTACAGTACTGGGGATAGAACACAGACCTTAAGCATGTTAAGACAGTCACTCTACCACTGAACTATATCATATCCCTTTTTTTTAAACTCATTTTTTTAAAGGCAGGATCATGTTCAGATGCACAGGTTAGCCTGGAACTCGTAGTCTTCCTGCCTCAACCTCCCGAGTAGCTGGGCCTATACCACCAGCTCAGCTCCTTTCTTTGTTTTCCTCCCTCTCTAGAGATAGTATCCAAAGTCATGAAGAAAGCCTGTCTGTCCTGAGGTCCAGCAATGAATTTATGTACTATGTAGTGACTGTAGCTCTGCAGAAGGTACAACAGCTAATACAAAGAGGGCACATATGTGGTCCTGATGGCCAAAACCCAGAAAAGATCTTTCACAACCTCTGTGACATAACTCGGTAAGCCACTCTAATGCTCAGAAACTTATTTGCTAGCTTGTGTGTTGTGAATTCTCCAAGACAAGAAATTGGGGATGGAGCCAAGGGTGATTTGAGGTAGACCTGTATTTTAAAAGAGGAGTGACTGGCAGTAGATCATTTTTCTCATCTTGTTTTGGTATGGATTTTTATCTCATATAAAAATCTTACTGTTCCCAGTACTTAGGAGGCAGAGGCAGGCAGATCTCTGTGAGTTCAAAGACAGCCTGGTCTATGCAGTTCCAGGCTAGCTGGTTCTACAGGGAGACCCTGTCTCAAAAAAGACCGCCCCCCCCAAAACAACAACAACAACAAAAAAACCAACTGCATTCCCAGAAGGGAGAAAGAGTATTATTAATAATGATTCATAAAGTAGACATAGCAATACTAAATGTATGTGTACCTAACAACAGATTTTAAATACTTAAAGCAAGAAAACAGTAAAGGGGCTGAAGGCATGGCTCAGCTGTTGAGGGTGTGTACTGCTCTTGTAGAAGACCTGAGTTTGGTTCCAGCACCTGTGTTAGGTGGCTTGTAATGGCCTGAACCCCAACTCCAGAGGGGTGTGATGCTTATGCCCTCTTCTGGACTCCAAAGGCATCTGCATTCATGTGCACATACCCATACCACATGTGTACACATAATTAAAAATGAAATAAAGGGCTGAAGAGATGGCTCAGCATTAAGAGCAGATACTGCTCTTGCAGAGAACCTGAGTTTGGTTCCCAGCACCCATATTGGGTGGCTCACAGCTGCCTGTAACTCCAGTTCCAGGGGCTCCAACCCCCTCTTCTGAACTCCTCCAGCATTTATACTCAGTGTGCACATACACAGACACGCACTACGAAAATCAGAAAAAAAGTCTTTGAAAAAGAATCTGACAGAAACATTTGTTATGAAATAAGATCTTAAAACAGCAACAATAAAATTGAAAGAATAGACAAAAACCAGCAATGAGGCAAATGACAAACAATGTTGTTAGACATCTTGACTTACTTGACATCTATAAAACACTTAGCAACACCTTCCAAATACATTCCTTTCATGTGTGCATGATACTGTCATCAAAATAGACCATAGGCTGGAGAGATGGCTCAGTGGTTTAGAGTACGTACTGCTTTTGCAGAGGTTCTGGGTATGGATCCCAGCACCCATATTGGATGACTCACAACCACCTGTAACTCCATTCTAGGGGATCCAAAACTTTCTTCTGGACTCCACAGGAACCTGTATTCACACATGCACAAACACACACACACACATAGACATACACATAATTAAAAGTCAACATAGGGCCAAGCATAGTGGCACATACCTTAATCCCAGTACTTTGGAAGAAGAGACAGATGGATATGTGTGAGATAGAGGTTAGCCTGGTTTACACAGTTAGTGAGTTCCAGGCCAGCTGGGGCTACAGGGAGACCCTGTGTCAAATAAACAAACAAACAAACAAAAAATGAAAATAGGAAGCCAGGTATGGTAGCACAAGCCTTTAATCCCAGCACTTGGGAGGCAGAGGCAGGCAGATCTTTGTAAGTTTGAGGCCAGCCTGATCTATGTAGTGAAGCTCTGTTTCAAAAAAGAAAAATCTAATCTTCTATACAGACTTCCACATTTTGAAAGAGAGAGGGAGACAGAGAGATCACTGGGCATAGTATTGCACACCTATAATCCCAGTATTTGAGAGACAAAGGACAAAGGATTGAGTGTAGCACTAGACTGGGGTACTTAGCAAGACCTTGGCTCAAAAAAAAGAAAAAAATTGAAAAAAGAGCAAGTTACAATGAAAGTAAGCAGAAGAAATAATAGAGGCAAAAGCAGAATAGTTGAAAATGAAAACAAAACAGAAAATCAAAGAAAGCTGGTTCTTGTGAAATTAATGAATTTAACAAAACAGACATCAGGAAAAGAGAAGATTAAAAACTACAAATACCAAAAATGAGTACAATGGGACATCACTGTTGATCCTACAGATTTTTTTTAATGTTAATAACAATATTAACAGTTTTTGCTAATATGCTCATTAATAAGGTGAGTGACCAATTCTTTTTAATTTAATTTAATTTAATTTTTTATTTTTTGGTCTTTTTGAGACAGGGTCTCCCTGTAGCCCCAGGTCCTGGAACACTATGTAGACCAGGCTGGCCTTGAACTCACCGAGATCCACCTGCCTCTGCCTCCCGAGTGCTGGGATTAAAGGTGTGTGCCACCACGCCTGGCCAAAACACCCTTTTTAAAAACAATGGTAATTTTCGTTAAAACTCCCAGTTTAAAATAATTTTCATTGATGTCTGCGTTTCATTAATCCAATATGGCTAACTTCACCACCATGGAGCATCTTAAATAACTGATCTGGATTAATTTAATTTAATTTTTTATTTTTTGGTCTTTTTGAGACAGGGTCTCCCTGTAGCCCCAGCTGTCCTGGAACTCACTATGTAGACCAGGCTGGCCTTGAACTCACAGAGATCCGCCTGCCTCTGCCTCCCGAGTGTTGGGATTAAAGGCATGTGCCGCCATGCCCAGCTTAATTTTATTTTTTTAAAGTTAGCATACAAAATAATGGTATTTTCATATGTATGTGTGTTATTAACCTTTGTTCTAATTTGTCTGCCTCCCCCATTTCCCTCTCCTAGCCCTTCTGTCTCCCACCTTACTAGTCCTCTTCCTCCCCTAAACGGTACTCTATTCTGATTGAATGTCACATGTGTTCCATTACCTACACATACATAATATACACATATCTATATAAATTTAAATACGAGGTCCACATCTGAGAGAAAGCATCAGGTATTTGTCCTTCTGAGTCTGGCTTATTTCACTTAAATAATAATTTCTAGCTCTATCCATTTTCTTGCAAATGTTATAACTTCATTTTTCTGTATTGCTGAATAAAATTCCACTATATGTACTACAACGTCTTTATCCATTTATTTGTTGATGGACATCTAAGCTGGTTCCATTACTTAGCTAATTTGAACACTGCAGCAGTAAACATGGGTGTGCAAATATCTCTGTGGTGTGTTGGCCTAGAGTCTTTTGGATATGTACCCAGGAGTGTTTTTGCTGGTCATATAGTAGCTCTATTTTTGCTTTTTTGATTGTTTTAGAGAAAGCTACCTATTGTTTTCTGTAATGGCTACACTAGTTTGCATTCCCATCATTAGTGTATAAGCATTCCTTTTACCCTGCGTCTTTGCCATTATTTATTGTCATTTGTTTTCTTGAGGATAGGACAGTCGTTCTGACTAGAGTAAGGTACAGCTGCAAAGCTGATTTTGTTTTTTATTTTTTTGATTCTGTTTCTAATCACACAGGGTCTTACTATGTAGCTCTGACTGGCCCAGAACTCACAGAAAGTGATCCACTTTCCTCTGCCTCTCCAGTACCAAGATTAAAGGAGTATACCACTGCACCTGCCTTAAAGCAGTTTTTTATTTATCTCTTGAGGGTCTCTTGTATCCATGCTGGCCTCATACTCACTAGGCAGTTAAAGCTGACCTTGAACTTCTGAACCTCCTGCCTCCATCTCCTGAGTGCTGGGATTACAAGCCCAGGCCCAGTTAATCTATCTCTGGAGATCAAACCTAGGACTTTGTGTATGCTAGGCAAGCATTTTACCAAGCTATATTCCTAGTGATTAGAGGTCTTTTACTCTTTCATATAAATTTTAGAATCATTTTGTCAATTCTTAGGATAAAGCTTGACAGTTATTTTCCCCCCTGGTGTTGAGGATCAAACTTAGGGCCTCAAGTATGTTAAGCAGGTGCTCTATCACTGAACTATCACCTCCTTGATAGGAGTGTGTTTAGGACTTACTGCATCGATAGACCAGCTTGGGAAGAATTCATATGCTCACAGTATTGACTCCTGTTCATTGGACACTGAATCTTTCCGTTCATTTGTGTCTTATATGATTTCTCTCATAAGTGTTTGTACTTTTCATTAAGCAAAGATTGCATATTTAGTAGTTTTCTAAGCAGTTCCTGCTTTTTGGTGATAAACAGGGTACTATTTTTTGAACTTCAATTTCCAATTTTTCACTGTTAGCATGTAAAGTATTACTATCTATACTTGTATTCTGCAGTCTTATTAAACTCACTTAATAGATCTTAATAGCTTTTCAAAATTCTCTGGCAATTTTTATACAATTATACTGTC